AGCATCTCCTCATAGAGATGAATTGAATCAATGAATCTCTATGAGGAAAGTTTAATACATGCAGAGGGTGGAGACATTGTATGTTTGGATGCATTTTAGGCAGCCATGACCCAGGAAGGATATCTAACAGCCATCTGAGGAGTGGCCAGTGAAGTTATCACTAGGCTGTAATGTAAACATTTTCTCTGAAAAGACCGTGTCTACAGCAAAAAGCCTGAAGGTAATGATTCTACTCACCAGAACAAATTCAATAAGCTGTAGTTGTTCTGGTGACTATAGTGTCCTTTTAATAGTTGAGATTTGGGCACATTTTTCAGCCAGGGGGAGTAAATGGCAACTGCCTTCTTCCACATAGCTGTTAACATCTACTGATTTAAAAAAAAAAAAAAAAATTTTTAATACTACCTTCTTCCTCATAAATGTTGAGATCTAAAAAATTAACATTGTTTTTACTAAAATCGTCAGTTTAATACCCCAGTCATTAATATTAAAAAAAATTAAGAAATTCTAAAACGGAAGATTCAATTCCCCTCCATATAAAAAATATATTGTCAATATAACGGCAATAGAGCACCAGATTGGCATCCCAGTCACGTCTCCTGTAAACACACTCATGCACCCATAAAATAAATTGGCGTAATTGGGTTAAAATCTAGTGCCCATCGCCATTCCACATGTTTGGAGGTACAAATTATCTTCAAACCAGAAATAGTTATTATTTAGGATCCATCCAAAATTAACTCTATTTGTGGTTGTAGAAAAATCTTAAAAATCTCTAAAAAAAAATGTCTTGTTGATAGGCATCTTCTCTCATGTGACATGATGGTGTATAATGAGCCTACATCCGCGGTGACCAAGAAAAAAATCCTCCTCCCAATTTTGATCTTTCAAAATGGTAAGGAGGCTAAGAGAGTCTTTCCGACGGCTTGGACATCTCTGTACCATCGGCTGTAGGCATCTATCCACATATTGAGAGAGTTTGTTAGATATGGATCCTATCCCCAAGACAATTGGATGACCTGGGGGTTTTTCTTTATTCTTGTGGACTTTTGGAAGGCAATAAAAACTGGTGTTCCTTGATTTGAAATATTAAAAAAATTATATTATTTTTTGTTTAAAATTCCAAGTGTTTTTCCTTTGTTTATTAATGCTATATAGCTCTTTTTAATATCCTGCATGGGATCTTTGTTTAATATTTTGTATGTGTTTTTGTCTCCCAACAATCTAAGGGATTCTTCAATAAACTCTATCTTTTCTAAGAGTACAATGCCCAAGAGTGTTATCTTGTTTAAAATCCTTCAATTTTGTTCTCTCTGCTTGATTTAAGTTGTATTCTTGTTTTTTAGTTCTTATTTTTTGCAGGTCATACATAACCATTTTTTCAAAAGTAGTTTTCTCTTTCGATACTTCTCCCATTGGAAAAACATTTGAGGGATCTTTTAATTCTGTATGTATGAATTGGCTACATTCTCTATGAGAGTTGAGTTCATTAACATCATGTTTAGCAAAGAATTTTTTCAAGCACATTTTCCTTATAAATTTATTTAAATCAATATAATAATTTAATTTGTCTAATGTTTTGATCAAGGGCAAATTTTAGGCCACTATTTAGTAGTATTATCTGGGGTTTGGTTAGTTTTCTTTCCGAGGTTGAAAATGCCATTTTGTTGTATTGTTTGTTGTTTCTCCTTTCATCTCTGTATATTGCTTCCTCCTCTATTTCCCGTTCCTCTGGGGCCCTCATTCTCCTCCCTAGAGATTTGTATGCTCCTTCCATACTTTTGTATCTCTTGTTTTATTGGGATATTCCTCTCTATTTGATTCTTTCCAATATTTTGTATCAGTTCCCCCTTTCTGTTGTTTTTTAAAAAAGGTCCTCATCTGTTTCTTAGCATAATCAGTTTTATCTCTAATGTATTTTCTCTTTTTCACTTCTACCACATTTTTCTCCGGTGATATTTGTGTACTCGTCAGGGGTTGTATTGTTAATAATGAAACGTTGAAGCTTATTTATAGCTTCATCTAGTTTATCTAGAGTATTTTTCCTTCCTTTAATGATTAATCCCATCATGCCAAAGGAAAAGTTATTAAGCATCTCTGACCATTCATTAATAAAGTCTTCCTTGTCTTCATGGGCGTCCGCGGGAATTGGGGGGGGGGAGGAGGGCATAATTATAATGACATCCATGTTCGGCCATTTTTTGACAGTGTCATGAAGGGGAAGGGCATAGTCATTGTCACATACAGTGAGGGTAAATAGCTGTGACGAAGTGCCCTTCGCCACTTGGTCCTGGAGAGGCCTGCTTGCCAGCCTCCTCCCCTTTGACTATGACTCTTTGATGTATTTGGATTTAAAGCCCCTATTCTACCTTCAGACAGACTATTTATGTAGGCTGCTTTATTTATCTTATGTTTTAGTCACCCTGTACCCATTACAGGTGCAGGGTGTGCGTAATGTAATTGTTTATAGTGTGTGTGTGTGCTGTGCATGTATTGCCTGCTCTCCTGTACTGCTGAGGTTTGCTACCAACTAGGTGGGTTTGGCTATAGAGCTTCTCTAGTGCCCTCTGTTGGTAGCAACAGCAATATGCACTACCTGAATAGCAAGACTGGTTCATTCGGGTAGATTTGCATATTGCTAATTCTGCAGACATGTGAGATATTTTCTGTTAAATATTGTCTCCCCCACCCCTTTAAAAATGTGCCATTGTTTTGTGATAAGTCACTGTGTGTTGCCTGCTATGGTTTGACTGTTTGTGATTTTATTGCGTTATCACAGCAATGTTAATGTTGTGACCCTATGGGCTGGTCCCAAAGGAAATAAAGGTTTAGACAGTTCTTCTTGATCACTCTAATCGTAGCCTTGTCTCCTTATTGGAGGGAGCTGTTATAATCACACAGGGGATTGCTATGCTCTGCATACTCATCTGAGCTTGAATCACTTAGCTCTTTTTTTTTTTTTTTCAATGTATCATATTTATTGGTTTTTACCATGGAAATGTAAACAGAGGGGTACAGAAATAAAAATGGGGTAAGGGTAAATAGTTACACATAAGCAGACCACATTGTCGAGTACAAATACTATTGGTTCTTTCATACATGCTGCGTAAGACATATTGTATGGTTACATTGTTGTTCGAGCAATTTGTGAGTCAGCCTCCGAGCACAGTCGTTGCTCTCAGTGAGGGTCGCAGCGTGACTCTCCTCGAGTCATGCAGGCCTCCGACTCAGTATGAGAGGGGGGGTACCACTGTGGCCGGTGTACTGCGCCAACAGCTAGGTTGCCCACCAGTCAGATTCATATCTACAACATTGCCTGCGTGGGTAGCTGCCAGGGATGATTGAGGTGAGGGAGGGTCAGGGGGGGTTAACAACCGGGTAAGGGTAAGGGTGGGGGGGGGAGGTTGAGATGACTCTACACCTTGTTGGGTTTTGTGATGGCCCGTTTAGCCTCTTTTCTCCAGCTACCTCTGCTTATATGGGAATTTAATTTAGAGGGCTTCCCTGTATATCCTTTTTCTCATACATCTGGGGTGGGTTGGTCCCTTATTTCTATTTTTACTCCGCTATCCTAGATCGACACGGCTTTTGTCTCATTGTCCAGACCAGTTAGACCAGATTAGGTTGTATCGTGCTAGGGTGCCCTGGATCGTATGCGCTATTTTCTCAAGGTGTTGCGTGAGGTTTATCCTGTTAACTACCACTGTTATTTCCGGAGCTGAGGTTGATTTCCAGAGGGAAGCTATACAGTGTTTAGCTGCTAAGGTAACATGGGTGGTCAGCACCGCCTCCGGATGGGTCAGTGATTTGGGAAGCATGTGTAGGAGGTAGGCCTCCGGAGTGAATGGTATCTTTTTCTGTATACTGCTTTGGAGTAACATTTGTACCTGCCTCCAGAAAGTGTGTAATACTGGACAGTGCCAGAAGATATGGCTCAAAGTACCCGTCTGTGTGCAGCAGCCACAGCAAACCTGTTGTGCCCCTGGGTATATAAGTGCCAGCCTCCGTGGGGTGATATACCACCTCATCCAGAGTTTATAGGCCGCCTCAACATGATCTAGGCAGTGTGTGGCTCGTTTCACAAGTGCCATCGCTGCGGACCATTGACTACTCTCTATTGTGCTATTGAGTTCAGATTCCCAGTGCACCATGTAGCTTAACTTATCAGTCTTGCCCCTCCCTAGGAGATTTTGATAACATAGAGAGAGTGGTTTTGCTTGGGTCTTTCGTCTGAGGCACAGTGTATCGAACGAGCCCGGCTCTCTGGTGTCGGGTGCTGCTTGTTTGATCCCCTGCATTATGTGCTTAATACGAAGGTAGGTGAAGAGTTCCCTACCCGGGAGGAGGAAGGTCCGCTGAAGTATTGGGAATTGTCTCATCTCATTGCCCTCCATTATTTGGGATACCCTCTCTATCCCCTGTGCTAACCACCCATCTAGAACCAGATCTTGTGTGAGGTACTTCAGGCTAGTCATGGGGGCGTATAGTATCAGAGGTTGGGCTAGCAGTTTCGGGGCCCATCTGTGCCATATGCAGAGAGAGTGTTTTGTGGTCACTAACATGTTTGCGTCGCGTGGATGCGATTTGGTCGGGACCCAAAGTAAGTCTAATAGTGCATGGGGCGTAGCGCTTGCCGTTTCTAATTGGTACCACAGGGGGCGGTTTGGGGTTATCAGCAATCTTGCTGTTTGGGATAGGTTCGTGGCTACGTAGTATTTGGAAATATTGGGTACACCCAGTCCCCCATTCCCCATGGCCAGGGTTGTGCTTGCCATAGAAACTCTAGGTGGTTTCTTCTTCCATATGTGTGCGTTTAACAGACGCTGGAACCATTGTAGTAGCGCCTTTGGTATCTCAATGGGGAGGGCCCTGAAGAGGAATAATATTTGGGGGAGTATGATCATTTTTATGGAGTTTATGCCTCCCAGCCATGATGTGTTTTTTGCCCCCCAGCTCTCCAGCAGTGCCTCTGTTTTATTCAGCAAGGCGTCATGGTTGTATCAGAGTAGGTTGCGTCTCAAGGGTGCCAATTTTGTGCCTAAGTAGGAGAGATTGTCTTTCCGCCAGTCAAAGGGGTATTGAGCTTGCAGGGCGGCAAGGTTAGAGTGGGTCACGTTAAAGGGTAGTACCTGAGTTTTTGCCTCGTTGTTCTTGTAATAGGACACTTTGCCATAGTCATGGAGCAGGAATAGGAGATGCTTCAGTGATTCTGTTGGGTTAGTCAGAAATATTAGGATGTCGTCAGCAAAGGCGGCTATTTTTTGGGGACCTATTAATGAGGGGATACCAGTGACGCGCTGTTCCTGTTTAATTGTGTGCATTAGCGGTTCTAGTGACATGATAAAGATAAGGGGCGACAGTGGGCATCCCTGTCTTGTGCCATTCTTCAGGGCAAAGCGTTGAGAGGTAAAACCGGAGCTCACAACCACGGCTGTCAGGGAGGAATATAATGATAGGAGGCCATTGAGAAATTTGTCGGGGAATCCAAACCTGCGGAGGACCTCCGTCATGTAGCCCCAGTGTAGCCGGTCGAAGGCTTTCTCCGCGTCAAGGGCCATTAGTAGTCCCTGTGTTCTGTGTACCGTCAGGAGTTCCATTATGTCTAGTGCACGTCTTGTGTTGTCCTCTACCTGCCGTTCCGGGACAAATCCCGATTGTTCCGGGGAAACAAGTGTACCCAGGAGGGGGCGCATTCTATTGGCTAGGACTTTGGCAAAGAGCTTTGTGTCCACGTTAAGCAGGGAGATAGGGCGGTATTTTGCGCAAAATTCAGTGGGCTTGCCCGGCTTGGGAATAGTAATTATGGTGGCCTCTAGCATTTCAGGGGGTATGGAACCTGACTCCATGATGTTGTTGAACAGGGAGGTCATGTGGGGAAGGAGTTGGTCCTCAAAGGTCTTGTAGTAGTGAGCGGGAAGCCGTCAGGCCCTGGGGCTTTATGTCGGGGGGTTTCTCTAAGTGCTTTTGAGATTTCCTCTTGAGTGATTGCGCTGGTGAGTAGTGAGGCTTGGGCGCTGGAGAGCTAGGGGAGTTCCACTTTGTCTAAGTAGGCAGCTATCTCCCTTGGGGTCGGCTGGTGTTGTAGAGGGTCCTCCGCTAGGTTATAGAGGGCACCGTAAAATGTCGCAAATTCATCCACTATTAGCTTGGGGTTCGTCAGTTTCGTCCCGGAATTAGCTACTAAGTATGGTATGCGCGTTTGAGTGTGTTTGTCTTTCAGTTGGGCGGCCAGCAATTTCCCCGCCCTGTTCCCCTGTCTGTAATACTCGCTTTTGAGTTTGCGGAGAGCCCTCTCTACTCGCTGGAGTTGGTGAACTTCTAAGTCAGCTCTAATCTTATTAACAGCCTGTCTTGTCACGTCAGAGGGTGAAGATTTGTGGAGGTCCTCCGCAAGTCTCAGGTCCCTAAGCTTTGCTCTGCTGGTTTCCTCTAATTTGCGTTTTAGTGTCGCTCCAGCCCTAATCAGTGCTCCTCGTATCACGGCCTTATGGGCCAGCCACGTCGCGGCTACGGTTGTGTCTTGGGGCTTGTTGTTCGCAAAGTAATTCACTATGGTTTTCCTTATCTCAACAGCCCGTTCAGCGCTATCTATGAGGGATGCATTGAGGCGCCATGTGCCTCGTCCTCTCACCGGATGTAAAGTGGTGAATGAGGACAGAAAAGGGGCATGGTCTGACCAGGTGATTGAGTCGATGGTGACCCTAGTCAGAGTGTCCAGGGACTTCTCATCCACCAGGCACATGTCTATGTGGGAATATTGGTCATGGACTTTCGAGTAGAAAGTATAATCTCTGGTGGCCGGGTATAAGGAGCGCCACGTGTCATGAAGGCCATGGGAGTGTAAGAGAGCTGAGAGCCTGTCACCAATAGATACAGAGCGAGGGTGGGAGCCTGGAGTGCCTGATCTGTCCAGGTCTGGGTCAAGTACACAGTTAAAGTCTCCGCAGACATAAGTTTGGCCCTGTTTTATCCTGTCCAGCGTTTTTAGGGATTTCCTGATAAAGTCATATTGGTTGGAGTTAGGGGCGTAAAGGTTTGCTAAGGTTACTGGGATATCGTTTAGCCTACCCACCAGAATCAATAGCCTACCATCAGCGGTTTTATGCTCTGTCGTGCACGTGAAGGCCCAATCCGAGTGGATTAAGATACTGACTCCCCTGGTTTTATTAGGCGCCATCGACATAGGGGACAAATCAGCAAATAGGGAGATCTTTTCATAGCCAGATGGCATTGCCGTAGATTTCGTTGCGCCATGAGTATGGCGTCTTTGGCGCTGAAATAGTGTAGCCTCGTGACAATGTCTCTCGGTATGTCGCGTGCTAGCGAAGCGGGCTTGGGTACCCGGTGCGCCCTATCTAGGCGCAGGTCTGCCAGTTCCAGGTTAGGCTGGATAGCTGTGAAAAGTTGCTGAAGATACCCTGGGATATCCGACCCTGCGACAGACTCTGGGACGCCGCGCACCCTGATGTTATGGCGGCGCGATCGGTCCTCTAGGTCCGCCAGTTTGGCTGTTAGGCGCGCTTGCTCCGACTCCATTAGGCGGATCTTTTCCAAGATGCCGTCATTAGCCTGGCATAAATCATCTGTTTTCTCCTCAAGGACATTTAGGCGTGTCCCCACCTCGTGCACCTCTCTGCGGATGTCATTAACCGCCAGTTGTAAGTCCTCTTTCACGGAGGAGCGGAGCTCCTGCAGCATTGCCGCCATTTTTGCCTCCGAAAGAGAGATATCCCCAGGGGGAGGCTGTAGTGCCTCTATGTCGGATCCCTGATCTGAGGCAGGTGTTGGGGAGTGTGAGCCGCCGCCATCTTGCTCCGGCCGCGTTTTGTCTCTCCTACCTTGTCGGAAAAAATCCGACGCCCGCTGTGCTTTTGGGGGCGCCATTCGGCAGGGTAGGGTCCCCACAGGTTCGGGACTCAGTGGAGGGCACTTTTCCGACCAATAGCCGGTGTATTTCGTCGGTTTAGTCCGGTCCGGTCTCGGAGCTCTCACTCCATGCGACTACTCCGTGAGACCGGAAGTCCCGCCCCCCCATCACTTAGCTCTTTTAAGAGCTTGTTCCTGACCCGCTCTCCTTGGAGAAGAGGTCTTCACCACACAGTCCTGGATGCTGGAGGTTCATACAGGATGGAAGGAAGAGGTCTTTCCCACACGGTCCTGGAGGACAGAAGCTAATCCAGGGTGGAAAGAAGACGGCGAGACTCCAGTCAAGCTACAGCAGTTGCGGAGTCTGCGGTGGTTGTGGTGTCTGCTGCAGTGCTTGGAGTCCTCAGGAAGCGCTAGGAGCATCCTTCAATGGAGGTACCCAGTCGGGGTGCCAGGTAATCCGTTACAATAGCGTTTTCACAACTATGGTGTCAGGAATACATATATGTATTCCTGACACTATAGTGTTCCTTTAATCAAATTAAAAGAACATTCTGGTCACCATAACAACTTCATCTAAATAAAAATGCTATGATGCTAGGAGGCCCCTGGGTGCTCTCTTTCCTTTACCTCTCTCAAATGGTATAACCTCAAAGATTTCCTCCAGGTCACTCAGTGGTATTCGGCTTCTGAAACGTAGTGTCCGGAAGTGCAGATTGATGTCAGGCATGGGTGCCACTGATTGGCTAGAGTCAGCTGACGCTCTAAGCCATTCGCTAGTTCCCAGTTCATAAAAATGTTTTACTTTTTGTGAATGGGGAGCTACTGATTGGCTTTGAGTGCCAGCTGATCGCTCTTGCCAGTCAGCGACAACCCTACCCAACGGCACTCAGCAAATAAAAGACACATTAACACAGAGATTTTTTTTTTACCTGGGAACATGAGAACGTCCAAAGTTTCCCTGCAAGGGCCAGGTTCCAAAGCCTTATGATGTGGTATCCAGAATAAAGTGGAGGGATTACTTCACTTGTCCTTCTTGCTCAAATCTCATTTTCTTCTTTTTTATTTAACATAGTCTTCTTATTCTTCTGACACTGTCTTCTCTCCTCGGCTTCTTTTGCTCCTTTATCTTTCTGCTACTTTCTGCTTCTTTTACGCCCTTCTGCCCCTTTCGCTTTTGGATCCTTGAAGATTCATTCTGCTCCTTCTCCTACTTTACCTTTGTGCTCCTTTTGCCTCTTCTAGCTCCTTGCTGCCCCTTTGTGCTCCTTGCTGTCCCTTTCTGCTCATTTCTGTTCCTTCTCCTTCTCCTATTTTACCTTCCTGCTCCTTGCTGCCCTTTCTGCTCCTTCTCCTACTTTACCTTTGTGCTCCTTCTGATTCTTTCTGCTCCTTTACCTTCCTGCTCCTTTTGTCCCTTTCTGCTCATTTCTATTCCTTTCTGCTCCTTTTCTTACTTTACTTTTGCGCTCCTTCTGCCCTTTCGAGCTCCTTTCTACTACTTGCTGCCATTTCCAGCTCATTGCTGGCCCTTTGTGCTCCTTCTTCTACTTTACGTTTGTGCTCCTTCTGATTCTTTATACTCCTTTACCTTTGTGCACCTTTTGTCACTTCCTGCCCCTTTCTTCTCCTTGCAGACCCTTCCTGCTCCTTGCCGCCCCTTCCTGCTTCTTGCTGCCCCTTGCAGATCCTTCCTGCCCCTTGCAGACCATTCCGGCTCCTTGCAGACCCTTCCTGATCCTTGCTGTTCCTTCTCCTACTTTACCTTTGCGCTCCTTCTGCCCCTTCCAGCTCCTTCCTGGCCCTTTCTGCTCCTTCTTCAACTTTATCATTGTACTCCTTCTGATTCTTTCTGCTCCTTTACCTTTGTGCTCCTTTTGTCCCTTCCTGCCCCTTGCAGACCCTTCCTTCTTCTTGTAGACCCTTCCTGCTCCTTGCTGCCCCTTCCTGCTTCTTGCAGCCCCTTCCTGCTCCTTGCTGACTCTCTCTGCTCCTTGCAGACCCCTCCTTCTCCTTGCTGCCCCCTCATGCTCCTTTCTGTGCCTTCTCCTACTTTACCTTTGTGCTCCTTCTGATTTTTTCTGCTCCTTTACCTTTGTACTAATTCTGTTCCTCCTGATTCTTCCTGATCCTTGCAGACCCTTCCTTCTCCTTGCAGACCCTTCCTGCTCATTGCTGCCCCTTTCTGTTCCTTTCTGCTCCTTTTGCCCTTTCCAGATCCTTGCTGCCCATTTCTGCTCTTTGCTGCCCTTTCCAGCTCCTTGTCCCTCCCATGCCTCACTTCTCTGATCTGTAGGGTGCCTCATCACTTACCTGATCTGTAGGCTACCCCCCATCCCTCACTTACTTGATCTGTAGGCTGCCTCCTCACTTACCTGATCTGTAGGCTGCTCCCCCATGCCTCACTTGCCTGATCTGTAGGCTGCCCCCCATGCCTTAGTTACCTAATCTGCAGGCTGCGCCCCATCTCTCACTTACATGACCTATAGGCTGCCCCCCCATGCCTCACTTACCTAATCTGTAGGCTGCCCCCATCCCTCACTTACCTGATCTGTAGGCTGTCTCCTCATCCCTCACTTACCTGATCTGTAGGCTGTCCCCCCCATGCCTCCTTTACCTGAACTGTAGGCTGCCCCCCCATGCCTCACTTACCTATTCTGTAGGCTGCCCCCCATGCCATATTTATCTAATCTGTAGGCTGCCCCCCATCCCACACTTACCTGATCTGCAGGCTGTCTCTGCAGCCTGGGAGTTGCGGGCTGCATCTGCTTCTCCCCTGCGGTTTCAGTCAGGAGAGAGAAGCAGGGATAAGATGTAGCCTCCTATCCCTGCCTCTCTCCACATACAGCGCCACCAACTGGTTGGCGCCTGTATTGTAGTGTATTATAAATCTCAAAAGAAAAATACCAGCACAAACTGAAAAATTCAAGGGGGGGCAAGTGCTATTTCGTGAAGCTACAGTGCCATATAGGACACAAAGCCATATCAGTTTTTACCGAACTTTGAATTTTGACGCTGGGCCTATGTGCAATTTCCAAGCATCTTAGCAGGTTTTAAATTCAAACTACCCCACAAAGGCCTACCATTTCTTAAAGTAGACACCCCAGGGTATTTCAAAAGGTATATTCTAAACGTTAGGGTAGGATAATTTTTTTGTTAGTTTGTACCAAGTCTAGTTGCAATTAGCATTTTTTTTTCTGCCTTTTTGATACACACTTGGAGATGTTACTGTATATTTTGCTATCCTTATGTGTGCTACGGCAGTATAACACCTATATGTTGCTCAGCTATGTCATCTTAGTGCAACAATACCCCCATGTGTACCTTTTTCAGGGTTATGTGGATGTTGAAGGGGCACATTGGAGACCAAGCCATATCAGTTTTTACCGAACTTTGAATTTTGACGCTGGGCCTATGTGCAGTTTCCAAGCATCTTAGCAGGTTTAAAATTCAAACTACCCCACAAAGGCCTACCATTTCTTAAAGTAGACACCCCAGGGTATTTCAAAAGGTATATTCTAAACCTTAGTGTAGGATCATGTTTTTGTTAGTTTGTACCAAGTCTAGTTGCAATTAGCATTTTTTTCTGCCTTTTTGATACACACTTGGAGATGTTACTGTATATATTGCTATCCTTATGTGTGCTACGGCAGTATAACACCTAATATGTTGCTCAGCTATGTCATCTTAGTGCAGCAATACCCCCCATGTGTACCTTTTTCAGGGTTATGTGGATGTTAAGTGGATGCTGGGCCCAAGTCTCATTTTAGCAGCTCAGGACTGCAAATTACCTCTCAAAGGCCACATATATTTTTAAGTATAAGCAGCTCATCAATTCAAATTATAAACAAGTGCATACTATTTGATGTGAAAAGGGGGAATAGTTGGGGTAACTTATCAGGGGGTAGTACCCAGTCATCTGCATCCCGGGCAAAGCTGTCATGGATTCCGAAACCAAAACACAGACAGACCACAAAGAGAGAGAACACAAAGAGAGAAACTTGTAATACCGGTCCTTCGAATGGCCGGGCTATACAAGCAGAGAATTAACAAACAAACACTCACACATGTTTGTTTTTAATGTAATCCCCCCAGCCTCCTTACCTTGTAGAGTGCTGGGGGGATTCCCTGGGGTCCAGTGGTGCTGCTGGGCTCCTGGGCGGGTGGCCGGTCGGGCAGGCGGGCGCGCGAGGGAGCACTCAATGCTTCCTCTTCAGCTCCCTCGCGCGCCACGTAGGGATGCCGGCGCCGGAAGATGACGTCATCTTCCTGCTCCGGTATCAGTGCGGTGCGCGAGGGAGCTGAAGAGGAAGCACTGAGTGCTCCCTCGCGCGCCCGCCTGCCCGACCGGCCACCCGCCTTCCGGGTGTCAGCAGGGCCAGCCTCGGCATTGATAATGCTTTCCTATGCGACCGGCTGAATGCGCGCGCAGCTCTTGCCGCGCGTGCGCATTCAGCCGAAGGGGCGGATCGGAGGCAGAGAGGAGAGCTCCCTGCCCAGCACTGAAAAAAGGTAAGCTTTCCTCCTTCCAGAGCTGGGCGGGAGGGGGCGCCCCCACCCTCAGGGCACTATAGTGCCAGGAAAACGAGTATGTTTTCCTGGCACTATAGTGGTCCTTTAACACCACCATCTAGCCCCCCATGGGCCCCTCATGCCTCCATAAATATAGCAAAATCCTACTATATTCAAGCCTGAAGCTGTAACTCTGCATGCTGTTAGACTCATAAAAACAAGCAGTCTGCTGACATCATTAGAAGTGGTGGCCTGATCCAATCACAGTGCTTCCCATAGGATTGGCTGAGACTGACAAAGAGGCAGATCAGGGTCAGAGCCAGCATGATTCAAACACAGCCCTGGCCAATCAGCATCTCCTTATATAGATTAATTTAATGAATCTCTATGAGGAAAGTTCAGTGTCTGCATGCAGAGGGAGGAGACACTAAATGTTTGGATGCATTTTAGGCAGCCATGACCCAGGAAGGATCTCTAACAGTCATCTAAGGAGTGGCCAGTGAAGT